TTATCTGTACCCGTGTACATGCTCTGGTCTAACCAGATTTGTTAGGTAGAATTGGGATCATGATATAGTTGGGAGAGGAAGCATTAAAGAATTAGAGGAAAGTTGTATGTTTCAACAGTGCTATACTGCACCCTGACTGGCTCATCTCTTCATTGTGACCCTTCAGTAAGGGGATGTCCAATTGTCTACAGATGGGCTTTGGGTCTCTACTTCACATTCCCCTGCATTCACAATTTGTTCTTTGATGCCTGATACCTGATCCCTTTGACACCTTATGATCACACAGGCTGGTGTGCTTCCTCCATGTGGACTTTGTTGCTTCTGAGCTAGATGACTGCTTGTTTATCTTCAAGTCTTTTAGACTCCAGGTGCTATATCTTTTTGATAGCCGGGCACCATAATCTTTCTTCACCACATTTGCTTATGCACCCACTTTGTCTTCAGCTATTGTGTCGGGAAGGTGAGAATCATGGAATGGCAGGCTATTAGAACAAAGTCTATTTGCGTTGAGTGAGTACGTAAGTAGAGGACCAATGTCCATCTGCTACCTTAATACTAACCCTGTAAATATATGTACATAGATATAATTCCCTATCATCATATATAAATATATTTACATATGTACATGCCTGTATTTTGACCTCTATAAATACCCTTTGTCTAGTTCTTTTCTCTATTTCCTTTTACTTTCCTCTTGTCCCACTATCATGTTCAGCCTTCATTTGGGTTTCAGTAATTCCTCTTGGTTACATTGCCCTGGATCAAGCCTTACCAGGCCTCCTATGACCTCCTCCTCATCAATTTCAGATCACTTGTTGTTCCCTTGTCCCTTGGTTTGTTAACACCCACTTCCTTCCCCCGCCTCCCCCCATCCCATGTTCCCCCGGAACCATCTGTCTTTTTGTTTTCTCTCCCGGATTGTTTATCCTGCCTATCTTATTTAGATAGACATGTAGAGAAAATAATAAGCACAAAAACAAGACAGAGCAAAACAAAGCAACAAAATAACAACAAAAAAGACAAGCTTATAAATAGTTCAGGGTCGGGTTGTTGACCGTTAGGAGTGTTCTCCAGACAAGTCTGATGGGGTACCATGCCTTGGCCCCACAGTCTATATTTGGTATTCCCTGGGGACTTCATTGCTTTTCTCTCCTTGCTGTCCTAGTGTGGTGGGATCAGATCAGATACAATTACTGCTCTTTGTCTCCAGTGTTGTCCCTCATAGCACTATGGGTCAGTGAGGAACGTCGTATCTCATAGGGGGGCTGGCCCTATGAGCCTTTCTGTGCATTGGCTGCTCTGAGCAGGAATATTGTCCTTGGGGCTTGGTAGACCAGGATGTGTTCCACTCTCTCTTCCTCTCCCTTCATTTTCTCCTGTGTGTTCTGATCAGACTTGTCCCTCTCCCAGAGCTGTAGCTTCAGTGCTGTCCTTTGAAGTAAATTCTTACGGGGGTGAGGGAGCTATCCACATATGTGGATTTGAGCCAGCCCCTCAGATCTCTTCTATTAGTTCCCTGCTTCATGCTGGTATGTTGCATTCACGTTCTGGAGCACCGGGTTGAAGCCTGGTCCCTCTCTCCCTGTGGAGATATAAACAATGCCCTCCTCTTGGGTGGATTAGTGCCCTGTTCCCATGCTACCCATGTCTTTTTTTCTTTTCCCTTCCTTTTTACTTGGCATGTATCCCTGGATTTGGTTTGGCCCCTGCCAGACTACCTGGACCTCGCCCCAGGAATCAATGTATATAGTAGCTTTTTCCCTGTACCCCTTTTGCATTTTTAAGCTTACCTCAGTGGACTCATGTACTTGTCCTTTTTTGCTTGGCTTACTTCGCCCATGCGGTGATGTGCTTCATACGTTCATCACTGCTTTTTAGGGATGCGTAGTACTCCATTGTATGTATGTACCACAGTTTTTTAATCCATTCGTCAGTTGATAGAAATTTGGGTTGCTTTCAATTCCTTGCAATTGTGAACTGTGCTGCGATGAACATTGGAGCACAGATGTCTGGCTGTGGTTTGTTTCTTGCCTCTTCTGGGTATATGCCCAGTAGGGGGGTTGCTGGGTCATATGGAAGCTTGATTTCCATCTGTTTTAGATATTGCCAAATTGAAATGGGAAATCGTATTCTACTTATTGAAACGTGCATTGGTACTGTATTCTTACTTTAATCATTACTTATAAAAAGATCTGACCTATAGCATATCATAATATGCATGTATGCTATTATGCAGTTGCAAAACATATAAGGGGGTTTCAAAAAGTGTATGAGGATATTCCATGATCTTTTTGAAGTCCCTTTGTGTTGTATATATAAAACATATTTAGAAAATATACTTACAAATATATTCTCATTTGAGAATTGTGCAATAACAGTCATAATGATAATTTGAAATACATGGAGTCTATGAAAATAGAGAACTTGAATTATGATTTAATTAATGGATATAAAATGTATTTGAGGAACTGTAATGGAGATATATGTCCAGTGATAAACCTGTGGAATTTTCAGCTGGACAGTATGACATGGACACTTTGAATGGATTATGGATGTGGTTAATTTTGGGGGGATTTAGATTCTGTTAAGTACTTTCAAAATAGTTGATGCAATAGTTGTATTTTAAAATATACATAGGAAATTGTTTCAAGAAAGTTTGTGAGAAAATGCTACTGCATCTGAATTGCATTTTTCCCATGAACTTCTTGAAGCCCCAACACATTTACAGCATGCTGAGAAGTAAATTCTATAGAAATACACATTTTACTAAAGGTGGAAAAATTATAGATGTCACCTTGCGGTAGAGCCTGCATGACTACATAGTCTTTCAGCATTTTGCTAAGAATCTGTGAACAAAACTAATAGATAGCCGCTGGCCTCCACAGGAGCCCTGGTGTGGTAGTGGGATACAAATCCCAGGGCAGCTCTTTGAAGCCGCAGCCACCTTGTGAGAGGAAGATGAGACTTTCTTCTCTCGTGAAGAATTACAGTCTCCAAACCCCACAGGGCCATTTCTACCCTGTCCTGTAGGGTCACTGTGAGTCGGGATCCACAGGATGGTAGCGAGTGAACTGAGCTGTCTGTCATTTGCCTAGGATACCAAACCCTTTTATCACCTGACTCCTAGTTTTCTGTAGTTTCATTGTATATTTAGTTGTATTTGCTGCATCATACCTAGTTCCAGCAAGACAAAACTACCTGACGGTCCATGTACTAGTATGTGTGATGCTCTTTCTGCCTTTTACCTTTTTTGGTGTGCTTCCCGTTCCCCTTGTTTGACTTCTAGGCTTTCTTTACGATTCAGATAGAAGAATTCTTGTTACCCCCTTCATGTATTATTAGCTTGGAGGCTCACATTGCCTGCTCCCTCGCGCCCTCTTTCAGACCTATCATGATACTTATCAGATTACTTTGTAATTATCTCCTTCTTTTCCCTCAATTAGAGTGTGAGGTCTCTGAGATTTGGCAAAGTTTTAGCTATGCCTCTTCAATGCCCAGTTATATGCCTCTCCTGGAAATAAATTAATTAATTGGCTCAATATTGTTGAAGGAAGCCAGGAAAAGTGATTTTTGATGGTTAGAAGGTTGAGTTTTGTGCTTAACATTTTAAAAGTCTGAACTGTAAATGAACTGTAAAAGGCTAATTTTAGTATCTGCTCGGTTTTTTTCAGCTATACAATTTGCAATTACTGGTAAGGTTTTCACTTGAATATAGGGTTTGAAATGACCAATGGATAGAAGGAGCGCACAGTACTGTAAGAGATGAGACAAGTATTCCTGATTTTGACTTTGCTGCTAACTTGCTGTGTGGCCATGGGCAAGTTAACCAACCTTGGCATTGATTTTTCCCATCTGTGAAATGGATCAGTGATTAGATTACTTTTAACATGTCTGCCATCTTTGATGTAGCGACAAGTAGAAATTAATGAAGCAAACAACTGATTATCCTTGGCAAAATGAGTAAACATATATGGGATTGATTTCTAGTCTTTTATATTGTGAACCTTTGGTATAAATAGACACCGCTGGTTTTGTTTCATTTGCAAAGTGTCTGAAGTGCTATGTCACAGATTTTATTCTTAATGCAAAAATAATACTACGTAATTAAATCAAAATAATTCAAAACATCATGATTGATGAAAGAGGTGTGATCTGAAAATCTAGGGGAATGTGGAATAATAGTTTTCACTCTTCTCCCTTACAGATTATAGTTTAAGTTCTTTCACCAAATGTATAATTCAATCTGATTAAGGTCATACTTGCCAAGGCATTTCTCTCATCTTAGAAATGAATTTACTTCGATTGAAGCATTTCTTGGTAGCCAATTAATCATTAAAGCTCTTTTTTCAATAAGGGTCATTAATGTTGAAAATTACAGGCATGCTACTGTATATTTCTTTTCATCAAATGAAGTAATTAAATTGTCTGAGTGTCATTGAATGACATATTTGAGAATTTTTTAAAGGGTTTGAGATTATATTGTCTGTCAAGACAAAGGCAGTATTTCCTTTCTTGTTGGCCACTCTACACCCTCACACCCACCCTGACCCCCCTGCTTTTCTCCCTCCACCTGCTTGGAAAGCTGTATTTCTTCCGACTAACCTCATAATTGCCCTTTTGTGCCTGATTCGGGCCTCAGGAAAGGCCCATAGCATCTGTAAGGCTGGCAGCAAAATGGTATTTCCAGGCAGGCACAGGGGTGCTGGGTAGTAAGCCAATCCACAGCTTTGTCTGAGCAGCTGAGAACTTCACCGGGCATTACCGCGGTGTTCAGTAACACAGACCTGTGCCCGAGCAGGGAAGCCCTGAGCAAGTGTCAGGTCAATATTTATAGAGCAGTACGTGGCCGCCGCCGCACACAGAGAAACACCCACCTAAAGGGCAGGGGAAGAAAACGCAGTGGAGGGAACTTTAATGCCCTCTTCTCCCCCCTAAAAAAGGTGGTAGTGTTTTTTTGATTTTTCCATAAAACAAAACCAACAACCCTTTTTCACTGTCAGGTTGAAACTTCTGCTGAATCATAACCAGTTGGCGCTGAGCTATGACAAGAGAGGAAACCAAAAGTTAAAGGAGTAAGCCTGCCCTAAGTGAGCCAGGTAAGTAATGAGCCGGTTCAGCTCCTTTGTCCTCGCACCCCCAACTCCCAACTGACTGCTGGCTGCTGTGCGTGCACTTTAGAGCTGGGGGGAGCTGCCTGCTGCTGGGGAATGTGCCCGTTGGGAGTGTCCTTCAGTGCGGTGCTGAGAAGCTGGGGCAGTCACAGCACCCTTCAATCATGTGGGTGGTAGGAGGAGAGGTGGAACATTGATTACCTGTGCATCCTCTTAGGAAGTTTCTGCCCACTCCTTCTTTTAAACTCAGAGTATTCCAGTGGTTAAACTACTGTTTACTTTCATCTTGGTATTAAAACAGTCGTATCAGTAAGCATATCAGAGTGAGTTGCTTAGAAATGAAATATAAGGGTGGGATTGCAGATGACCATGTGAGGAGAAAGTAGACAGTAGCCAAAGGTGGAGACTTTCCATGTGGTTAACATGGGGCTTCTGAAGAGAAAACCCCTGTCCATTTGACAGGGCGCTAAAGCGGAGTAATCGCTGTCTGTGGGTATAGGGAGTGCCCGGAGGGACGAGAAGCTAAGAGCAGTCTTCTTAATCCAAGGTGCAGGGCACGGGGGCACTATAGAGACTGTCTGCTTGTCCAAGTGAGTTGCTAAATTGCTTCCTAACAAATTATGGCGTCCAGCTGAATACATAGAATTTCAAACTCTAGGTACACATTAAACAGTGTTTCCTTTTCATCAGACATGCTACAGCTCGGTAAGTTTCTCTGTGTGCTCGTACGCGCATCGGTTCTTGTTGTCTTGCGGGTCCTCAGTTAGCATGAAGAGTGATGGTTCTGCAGGGGGGACACCAAGAGATTGTTATATATGTAGTTTCTGATTTAGGACCTCCATGAAAATACTTGTGTGTGAGTGTCGTACACATACTTTGGAAAATAACTGTGCGTGTGTTGCTTCATTGACATAGGATATTTATTTACTAGGTAAAACTTAACTGTTGACTGTGTGAAAGCTCTTACATTTTCCATTGTAAAACTGTAGGCTTTACCATCAGAATTCAATTTATAAGTGAGGTTTTCGTTGGTGATTAATGTTCCTAAAGGTTTTCTGTACTACATTGCAACCTTAAAAAAAAGTAATCGTAAAGTTTCTGTGACACTTAAACTTACGTTGTACAACTTGAACACTAGAGATAAAGGGAAAGTTCCTAGTTGGACAGAGTTTTTGACATGCAAGGAACAACTCATTCAACAATGGGATGAGTCACACTTAAAACAGCAGGTGGAATGGGTCCTCATGGAAAGGAGATATTTTAAAATGAAGTCAGCAGTTGTATTGTATCATTTTGTTGAATATTGCCGAGGTAGTTTTTAAAATCTACCATATTGTGAAATATGTCACAAATAGAACACTATTACTATTTTAAGGTTATTCTAATTGAAATCTAAACATGAAATATTAAAAAATTCATGTGATTCTTGTTTTTATCCTCCGAACCGAACCTTTTGTTTTTACTTTCTCAAGTTCCCCCTACTACTTTAAGAGGAGGGGTTTGATATAGATGGTTGACAATAGTTAAGTTTGTTTTTAAAATGCAACCATTGTGGATCTGGGAAGAGCATCACCCAATTAAAGAATCAGACCAGGTAATTGACTCAATGAGTTTTTCTTGGATTTCTTCTTATTCTCATCAATAAAACTGTCCTGATAGTTGTTTATGTTACAGCTTGTAGCTTTTAAGTTCATAGATTACATCAGTGCTTACAGTGGCTCTTTGCGTCTTCCTCTGGACATTTTGTCTCCGAAATACCAGGTGGAAGTTTGGGGCAATACACAAGGGACATATAAAAAGAGTTTGATAAAAAGAAACTATAGGAATTTGCCCACCAGTCATGCTAGAAGTAAGATAACTATGATATCAGTTGATAAAGTCATAAATGAAAATGTATTTTGCTTGAAGGCTGGTTAAAAATCTTCCCAGTGTTACTTCTGATATTATTTTCAAACCTGATGCTAGTAATCATATTTTTAAGAAACATGCTATATGCAGGCTTTAAAAAATGAAGATGGGATATTTTACATTACGTTATGTTACGTGTTACATATCTGTGTTTAGTGTGCAGTGTTAATGTTAACCTTGCCACGGGGTTCTTATTACGTCAGCCTTATCTAAACCAGTGTTTCTCAAAGTGGACAATACCTGCACTTTATCCTAGATTACGGGTTATAGAACAAAAGCTTTCCATTGGGGAGCACTAATTTTTTGTTTTGTTTTGTTTTGTTTTCAAAGCTATGTATTTAATTTTTTTCACAAAACAACCTTATCACCTTCAAAGTACTCTCCATTACACTCAATACATTTGTCAGCTCTGTGATTCCATCTCCCCCCCCTCCCCCCATGTACCAGTGACTGGGCTATGGAGGCTGCTAAAAAGGAACAGCCCCCATGCATACATCACAGCCTTGCTCTGGCCCATTGCCATCGACTGGAAAGCTGTACTTGAACAACAACCCCCAGCAACCACAGGGCATGTAATTTTTTTTTAAGGAATCAGTAGGTCAAGTACATTTGGGAACCGATGGCAGAGGACTTGCAAAGCTTGATAATGTAGCATTTTCTGTTGCTTCTTTTCTTTTTTCTTTTCCACAGATGGTAAGCTGGTAGTGGCCAGGCTTTTAAAAAGTATTTTCTTTTAGTCCCCCAAGACTAGAATATAACAGGGGCTCAAAAATGTGAACTAAACTAAAAATTATAATATTTAATTAAATTCATATTCTGCTTCATATAATACCTCTTGTGCTTAATATATTTTTAAGCCTTGACTAACTGGATGGAAGGAAAATTCAAGTAGATAGTAAATACTTTCTAGGACAACGGCAATGCTTTAAACAATTTTAAATTTTGTTATTTTTTGACATTAACCAGAGTAAAGTGTCTGTGTGTCTGTATGCATTTATCTAGAAAAAGAAATCTTTGTTCAATGCATACAAATTTGAATAATGAAAGATATTTAGCTGCCAGATGTTGGTTCACTTTGATTAAACTTTTCAGAAGGAGCTAGTTGCTTCTCCCACGTAGATGAAAGTCAACTTTACTTCACTGACATTGAGTTGACGAGCTGCCCCGTGGGTTTCTGAGACTCTGACTGTTTGCAGAAGTGGAAAGCTTCATCTTTTGCCTGTGGGTCAGCTGGTGATTTCAAGCTGCTGACCTTGCATTTAGCAGCCCAGTGTGTAATCCACGATGCCACATGTTAAATTAATTGACATCCTGGCCAACTGAAAACAATATTTACCCATTACCAGTTGCCATCTAGTTGATTCTGACTCATGAAGACCCTTTGTGTGTGGTTTTAGAGCTGTATACCAGTTTTCAGTGATGGAGTTGTTTGGAAGTATTGCCATACCTTTCTTCTGAGGACCCTGTGAGTTGATAGGAATCTCTGATCTTTCTTTTTTTGTTTTTATTAAATACTTTTAGTGGGGGCTCTTGGATCTCTTATTGCAATTCATACATTCCTCCAATGTGTCAAGCACATTTGTACACATGCCGCCATCATCATTTTCAAAACATTCTCTTCCCACTTGAGCCCCTGATATCAGCTTCCCATTTCTTCTCCCTCCTTCATCCGCCCACCCTCCCTCATGAGCCCTTGATAAGTTACAGATTATTTTTCCATATCTTACCTCGTCCTCTGTCACCCCTCGCCAACTTTTGCATTATTCGTCCCCCTGGGAGGAGGTTCTAGATTGATCCTTGTGATCGATTCCTCCTTTCTCCCTCCACCTTCCCCTAATCCTCCTGGTATCTCTGCTCTCCTTCTTGGCCTGAGGGCTTTATCTATCCTGGATTCGCTGTGTTTGGGGCTCTTCTCTGTAGCACTGTGCATGTTCTGGTCTAATCCAATTTGTAAGGTAGAATTGAGGTCATGATAGTAGGGAGAAGGAAGCTCCAAAAAACTAGAGGAAAGTTGTGTGTTTCATCGGTGCTGTACTGCTCCTGACTGGCTCATCTCTTCCCTGTGACCCCTCTGTGAGGGGATGTCCAATTGTCTACAGATGGGCATTGGGTATCCATGCCCCTTCTCCCTCCCCTCTCCTACCCCCCCCCCAATTCACCTTGGGTATGGTTTTATTCTGGGTCTTAGATGCCCAATACCTGATCCCATTGACACCTCACGATCACACAGGCTGGTATGCTTCTTCCATGTGGGCTTTGTTGCTTCTGAGCTAGATGGCTGCTTTTTTATCTTCAAGCCTTTAAGACCCCCAGATGCTGTATCTTTTGATAGTCGGACACCATCAGCTTTTTTCACCACATTTGCTTATGCACCCATTTTGTCTTCAGCGATCATGTTGCAAAGGTGAGCATCACAGAAAGCCTGATTGTTGGAACAAAGTGTTCTTGTGTTAAGGGAGTACTTTAATTGAAGCCCAATATCTATCTGCAACCTTAATTCTTAACCTTTAGATATGAGTACATAGTTCAAGTCCTATCTTATTGTATATATATATATATATATATATATTTACATATGTACATGCCTGTATTTAGGTCTCTATAAATGTCCTTTGCTTCCTGGTTCTTTCCTTTATTTCCTTTTTGCTTCCCGCTTGTTGCACCATCATGTTCTCCCTTCATTCAGGTTTAGTAATTCCTCGGTGCTACATTGCCCTTGATTGAGCCCCACTAGGCATCCTATGACCTTACTTCCAGTGATTTTAGTTCACTTGTTCCCTTGTCCCTGGATTGGTCCCCTCCCTGCTTCTTTCTCCCATCTTTCTTCTCCGGTATCAACCCCAGAACCATTGGTCCCGTTCTTTTCATTTCCGAATTGTTCATCCCACCTATCTTATCTAGATAAACATGCAGATACATTAATAAGTGCAAAAACCAGGTAAAGCCAAAGAAAATAACAAAGGAAGTCAAAACCAACAAAACAATAACAACAGCAGAAAGAAAGAACAAAATAACAATAACAAAAAGAAAGCCACTTCCAAAAATGAAAAAGCCTAAATAGGTCTTTTTGTTGACCT